ATACTATTAATGTGTAATCTAAGCTCTTTCAGATGTATCCATGAATAATCCTGGAACAATATTGCTTGTATTCCTGTCCCAGAACAGGTTTTGTAATCTTTAAAAGAAATGAAAATTTATATAATAAAGTTTCAAATAAATGCATGTATGTCCCTTTATCAGATTATTTTGGTTATATGATGATTATAAATATTCATATTATTCAAATTATTCATATTATCAAATTATTTATCCAAAGTATAAATTTATCAAATTGGATTGATAGAACTTAAGAATGTTTCTGAGTTAATAACAAGTGCAAAATAATTTTTCTATGCAAAGTCTTGGTTAGCCCAACAAGTTTGTCAAATCAGACTCACATCAGTCATAGATCTTACCCAATGCCAAACTTGATTAATGATTCAAAGGATACAAGGTGATCACCAGGCACAGATGAAACAATCTTTTCTTGGAGAAGTCCAAGATTATCAGACTTAGCTCCAAAATGCCCTTTTTCCCCCTCATTACAGTGCATTTTGGATTCAGAATTAAAGGACAAGTTTCCTTTTGAACAACGTATGCAGAGACATTGTTTAAACAAAAGGAGTCATTTGCTTTTGCAACATCCCCTTTTTATACCTCATTAATTACACAATTTAAATGATGAGCCCCCATTCTCCAGCCAGCTATGCCTCATAAACCCATAAATTCCAGGTTTTACAATAAGCCATCTCTATAGACCAAGTGTATCTTGCTAAAAGCATTTTAGAGATAAGGACTTTTCATTTTCTTTCTACTAATAAATATCATTAGCACATTTAAAAGGAACTTTGATTGAGGTCATTGATTTCTGGTAGAGAGGGAATGAGCTATAGGCCTGCAGTTAGTCCTTTCCTTCCCAGTTGACATTTTTGGTAATTTTATATTATGGTGATATATTAGCTTGCTAGGGCTGCCATAACAAAATACCACAGACTGGGTGGCTTAAACAACAGAAATTTCTTTCTCACAGTGCTGGAGGCTGGAAATCCAAGATCAAGGTGCCGGCAAGGTTGGGTTCACCTGAGGCCTCTCTCCCTGGCTTGAGGATGGTTGCCCTCTTGCTGCCTCTTCACGTGGTCATCCCACCCCTGGTGTCTCTTCTAGTCATATTGCATTAGGGCCCCATCCTCACAGCCTCTTTTTAACTCAGTTACCTCTTTAAAGACCTTAACTCCAAGGTACTGGGGGCTAGGGCTTCAACATATGAATTTGCAGGGAGACACAAGCCAGCCCAAAACAGATGGTTTAGGGGCTATCCACTTGGATTAATTTGGGTACATCTTCAGGTTAAGATGGAGAGCTTCAAGGTCACTTGGCATCATATGGAGGCAACATAGGAATGTTACTGTATATATTTATTTTCTACCGCTGCTGTAACAAATTACCACAGACTTTGTGGCTTAAAACAATGCCAATTTATTATCTTACAGTTCTGGAGATCAGAAGTCCAATATGGATCTCACTGGGCTAAGACCAAGGTATTGGCCAGGCTGAATTCCCTTTTGGAGGCTCTAGGGGAGAACTGTTTCCTTGTCTTTTCCAGTTTCTAAAGGCCACTTGCATTCCTTGCCTCGTGGCCCCTTTCCTCCATCTTCAAAACCAGCAACCGTGGGTAGAGTCCTCTTCACATGCATCTCTCTGACCACTCTCTTCTGCCTCTTCTTCCACTTTTAAGGACTCGTGTGATTATATTTGGCCCACTGAGGCAACCCAGGATAATCTCCCCATCTCAAGATCAACTGATTACTAACATTAATTGCATCGGCAACCTTAATTCCCTTTGCCATGTAAGATAACATATTCAGAGGTTCTAGGGATTAGGACATGGACATCTTTGGGGGCCATTAGTTGGCCTACCATGATTATCTAGAGAAACATCTGGCTCCTCAGACAGGCCACGATGGAGTAGCAGTATTGGCCATGGTCAGTCTTCTGCAGCTTTGTAAATCCAGATATTAAACTGTTAATGCACCCTAAATTGATAGAATTGACACACACTAGCAAAGCTAGGTAAAGGAAGTGCAGGATGCTGTAGGAATATATAGCAGAGTTGCCTAGGGGGGCTCATCATTTAAATTGTTGCCCTGATCCCACCAGCAACGGTGGGTAGAGTCCTCTACCCACCAACTAGAGTCCCAGTTGCCTAGGGATCAGGGCAGACCTTCTAAGGAAACAATGATTATGCCGAGACCTAAAAGAGGAAGGAAGGATAAAATAGAATGTACAAAGAGTCAGAGTTAGAGGCACTTAGGAAGATAAAAAGTTCTATACGAATGGAACTTAAAACAAGAAAAGAAGCAAGACACGAGGCTCAGGAGATAGGCAGGGCCAGACCATCAGACATAATAAGTTATATTAAGGAATTTGAATTTTATCCCTTTGGTTTTTCCCCCCAGTCTTCATTCTTTATTTCCTCTGCTACCAGACTGAACCTCATGGCCCTATAGTTGATCACCCAAACTTCTATCTCAGAAGCCCCCTGAACTTCCTTACATCTCCACCTTTATACTGTACCCACTGAGCAGTAACTGATATGTTGGAAGACACCATACAATTATGCGAATCGATACCACTGCAAGATTATGTTTTCTAATCTCAGCTAAGCTCTCAGTACCGTTTGCCAATTCTTTTATTTTTCCTTGGTGAGATCCAATTTCCCATTTCTTTTTTTAATAGCTTTATTGAGATATAATTTACATACCATAAAGTTCACCCATTTAAAGCATACAATTCAATGTTTTTTGGTATATTTACAGAGTTGCATGACCATTATCATAATCTAATTTTAGAACATTCTCATCATCCCACAAAGAAACCTTGTACTCTAGTCCAAGCCATCATTGTCTTTTGCTTGGACTATTACAGTAGCCTCCTGCATGGTGACTGTTTCCTCCCTTGCCTCTCTACAGTCTATTTGTAACACAGAAGCCAAAACCATGTGTTCAAAACCTACTAAGAACTATAACAAGTGATCCGGTCTCCTTACCTCTCCAATCTCATCTCCCCAAACTCCCCCTGGCTCATTGCATTCTAGCCACACTGGCCTTCTTGCTGTGTCTTGACTATGCCAAGCCTGCTCCCACTCAGGGTCTTTGTCCTTGCTGTTCCCTCTGCCTAGTACACATTTCCCTCAGATGTCCCAACGACTCACCTCCTTCCAAGTGATTCTGATGATCAGTCAGATATAGGAACCATCCTATAACAGAGAAATAAAGTCTGATGTTTTTTTGTCCTTTGGGGTTTTATACTGGGTAATTGACAGAGACTTTTGATTTTTAAATATTTGAACTTCCAGATACTTGGAGTCTAACTGATTACTTACCATGGGCTAGGTACAATTGTTAAACACTGAATGCATTATATCAATTTAATTCCTGCAACCAGCCAATATGGTAAGTACTATTCCTAAACCCAATTTACAGATGAGAAAATTGAGGCTTGTAACTTGTCCAAGATCATAGAGTAATAAGTTGCTGCAGAGCTGAATTTGAACCCAGATCTCTCTAACTCCAAAGAACAAGTTCATAATCACTTGGCCTTGAAGCAAAATTTAAATAAATTTCATAGACATCCTTTCATCTTCAATTGTGTAAATTGCCAAGTATTGCAAATGGAAAGAGAAACCCAGAACTTTAAGTACCCATCATCTTTCAGTTTCCTTCTAAGAAGTGCATATGTCATTGGTTTCTCATCCTCAGCTCTATTAATGTTTTGGGCTGGATAATGCTTTGTTTGGGGGTGGGGGGAGCCTGTACTGTGCACTGTAGGATGTTTAGCAGCATCCCTGGTCTCTGGCCACTAGATGCCAGCAGCACTGTCTTCCTTCCCCAGTTGAGACAACTAGAAATATCTCCAGACACTGTTAAAATGTCCCTGGTAGAAAAACCAGTGTTCGACGATTGCACTTTCTTTGTCACTTAGGTATGTCCATTTCCCTAGAAAGAGAATGTTGAAGCCCTGATGTTCGCAGAAAGATGATTTATTTAAAATAAGCTTACTTAAAAGTGAAGCTATTTGTCCTGCAGAGTCAGCTGTATTAGTTTGCTGGGGCTACCATAACAAAGTACCACAGATTGGGTGGCTTAAACAACAGAAATTTATTTTCTCACAGTTCTGGGGGCTAGAAGTCTGAGATCAAGGTGTCCACAGTGTTGGTTTCTTCTGAGGCCTCTCTCCTTGGCTTGTAGATAGCCACCTTCTTGTTCAGGTGGCATTCCCCCTCTGTGCCTGTGTCCTGATCTCCTCTTCTTATAAGGACACCAGTCATATTGGGTTAGGGCCCACCGTAATGACCTCATTTTAACTTAATTACCTCTTTAAAGACCCTATCTCCAAATAGAGTCACATTCTGAGGTATTGGGGTAGGAATTCAACATATGAATTTTGAGAGGACACGATTCAGCCCATATCTTCTTCCCTCCCTCCCTTCCTGTGTGTACTGAGCGCCTACTATGTGCCAGACATTCTGCTAAGTGCAGGCAGTAGTAAGCAACAGATGCGGTCTCTGCCTAATAAGGTTTACAGTGAGGTAGGGAAGACAGATACTTATAGAGTAATAACAAGTGTCATGCAAATATTATCCTTTCGTAATGGGGATGACAGGAAAGCCTTGCCCTTCCCCTCAGACTCCCAACCTGGTTGCGCGGGTGAAAGAGCCAAGTTACAACTGACCGGTGAGATTAAGAGTTAATGAGTCAGCAGCTCAAACCCCGAGACGCACGTTCGTCACAAAGCAGCAAGTCTGGCGTCAGCCAGCAGGGGGCGCTACCTGAATCCCCTCCTTTACTATGACGCCACGGGCTCGCCCCCTCCCTCCCTGACCCCGCCTCCTCCCTGCCCCCGGCCCCGCCCCCGGCGTGTCTCTGCAAACTGCGGTGATGCCCCGGCAGCACGTCTCCCTCCGCTCTAACAATAGGGGTCAGGCGGCCACGCCTGCGCTGTAGGGCCTGCTGGCGGGCCCAGCCGGCGTTGGGAGGCGGGGAAAAGCGACGCAAGCAGCCGGGACGCCATTTGCTGCGGCCGAGCGTGGGCTCAGGCGGATTTAGGAAGAACTCGGCCGTGAGGCTCCCGCGCACGCGACCCGGCCTCCCCCGCCTGCTTGATACCGCGCGGTCCCACGGGTCGCCCCTCGCGCCCCTCGGAGGAGTCGCCACCGCCGCCGCCACCACCACCACCGCCACCGCCAACCGGATAGGAGTCGGAGACACCGCGAGGCCGCACTCACCGCCATGCCCAAGAATAAAGGTAATGCCGCCTGGACCCCGGGACCACGACTCCGCTCGGCCCGGTCTCCCCGGCCCTGCCGCGGCCTCCGGATCGCCCAGGCCGCGGTGACCTTCCTCTCTGCCCTGCCTGCACGCGGCTGGGCGATCCGGACGCTTTTCAGGGCTCGGGAGAGGAGCTGGGAAGTTACTCCCTTCTCCCAGTTTGGTCGCATTGGGGTGGAGCCGACGCCATTTTTGTAGGGCCTTCTGCGGGAGGATGAGGGCTTTTGCTGCTGATTCGCGCCAGAGTGTCCGCGGCGGGATAGGAACCGGTGGCGGAACCTCCCCCGGGGCGGCCTGGGCTTCGCAGATGGGCGCCTTTGGCCTTCCCGGACAAGGGGAGTTAAGCCCTGGAAGCAGTTCTTAACCTTTAAAAGGTGATGGCTGCTTCAGTGACCATCAGGTACTCCCGCGTGGGGTTCTTGATGGCCAGTTGTTGGGTATTGTTGAGACTACTCTGGCTCCCTTGTTAACAGTGGACAAAACCTGGGTGCATTTTTAAGCTTCATCTCTAGAGATTTACTCCTCCCCATCCCTTTACCGGGTTTAACTCCCTCACCCCCCGCCCCAGAACAGTTGTTCTGTATTTAGCCGAGTTTCCCAGTTTTGCTTCAGATCATGTATATATTGTGATGGAAGGAATGACCTTTAAGTTCCCTCTATTCTGAGGCTAAACGTTCACAAATTATCAGACTTGGGGCTAATTTGGAATTTCCAAAATGGAAGGTCTAATCTAGGAAAAAGCAGAACAGTCCTAAAGTAATTCTCATCTTTTTGAACTTAAGGATGTTTCTCTCTTTTTAAGTGTTCTTATAATTTCTCAAAGGAAATTGTGCAAGTAGAAAGAGGGAACACATTCTATTTCCTACAGGAGAGGAGCATATTGCACAACCCACGAAACGTTTCCTTTGATGATTCACCTTTGAGAGCCCTACCCGGACCCAGGCCTGCTTCTGTTCTCTTTTCTGCTTCAGAGCTGGCGTCGGGGGTTCTGCCTCATTTCCTCTTTGTCACTACTCATGTCGTCCCTCGGGGTATTTGGTTGCAGTTCTGTGCAAGATTTGGTGCTGTTCCCTCGGGGCTCTGCACCTTACTGCCCTCAGAAATCTAACTTGCAGCTCCTTTTTTGTGGCAAGGATTTTACTGCTAAATATTCTGGGGAAGATAGGGTGATAAAATAGGGTTTTAAAAGTCGTAGTTTTCTTTTAACCTATTATAATTCTTTATTTCCTCTGAAGTGGTAACTGGATGGCTTCAATCGGTATCTTATTGTCACCTTTATTTCCGGAGATGAGATTTCCAGTTCCCTCACTAGACTGTAAGCTCTAAAGGGCAGTAATAGTATCTGTCTCAATCACATTGGGTTGCTGGCACTTGACACTTAGTAGATGCTCAATAAATATTTGTTGGATTAAGTCACTGCCCTTCTGTTGACTCCCCCCTTAGGTGAATAATAGATTCCCCTTTGGTTCCAAGGGGACAGGACTTCTACATTAAATCACATCTAGTTCACTAGCCTCCTTTAAAGTTCGTTTCATTACATGGCAGTAAAATAGAGAAGGGGATGATCAGGGTATGGTTAATTCTGGTAAATTGACAAGCAATGAATTATTCTTTTATAAATAATATTTGAGGCATACAAAAAATATATAGATAATGCACTGAACACCTGGGAATCCATTACTCTGAACTTTAAAGATTTTATTTATTTATTTTTCCCCCAAAGCCCCAGTACATAGTTGTCTGTCATAGCTGCACATCCTTCTAGTTGCTGTATGTGGGACACGGCCTCAGCATGGCTGGAGGAGTGGTGCCTCGGTGCGCACCCAGGATCCGAACCCGGGCCGCCGGCAGCGGAGAGCACGCACTTAACCGCTAAGCCACGGGGCCGGCCCTGAACTTTAGAATTACAACACAGATTCAGTTAAATTCCTCTGTGTCCCCCTCCCCAATCCCCTTTCCCTCTGTTCCTCTCTTTCTGGAGGTAACTACCATTCTGAATTTGGGGTCTGTCATTCCTATGCATGTAAAACCAATCTGTTGTCTTTGTCGTTATCTCACTTAGGGGAACAGTATTTTTCAAGACCCCTGAGTTTTATGAGATGAGCTTTACTAATGTAGGAATAAATTCATATTTATTTTTCTGTTTTTCTTCATTGGAAAAGCCAGAAGCCCTGTGAATATAATCTTGGTGATGAATACACAAGTAAGGATGTAAATTGCTATGAGCTGAGTATTAAATGACTTTGGTTTGCACTGATTCTTATCAGCCTATTTCTTTTAGAATCCTCTAGATTCTATCAGTTTATTACCTCAGGAAAAGGGGTATCCTTTTGGCCCACTCATGAAGCATTTGGGGTAAAGTACTCCCACATTTTGGGGGAATTACTACCTGTAATTTTTTTTTTTTTTTTTTGTGAGGAGATCAGCCCTGAGCTAACATCCATGCCAGTCCTCCTCCTTTTTTTCCCCAAAGCCCCAGTAGATAGTTGTATGTCATAGTTGCACATCCTTGTAGTTGCTGTATGTGGGACGTGGCCTCAGCATGGCCGGAGAAGCGGTGCGTCGGTGCGCGCCCAGGATCCGAACCCGGGCCGCCAGTAGCGGAGCGCGCGCACTTAACCGCTAAACCACGGGGCTGGCCCCTACTACCTTTAATTTTAAAATCATCCCTCCTTTAGGAATGTATGGACTCTTCTTGACTGATTCATTCAAAGAATTGCCCAACTCGAGTGTAGAACTCAGTAAGCAAAGCAGGTATGATCCTTGCCCTAATGGAGCTGTCACTCTAGTTTGAAGATCTGACATGATTAATGGCTTGAAGCAGAAGATACTTTTCTCTTCCTAGGAATTAGTTTTGGTGTGCCCTTGGCAGTGCCTCAAATACTGAACTCTTAAGGACTCTGGGTGAGCCAGGAAATTGTAGAGGCCCACCTAACAATAGCACAGAGCGTTGTGAGACTGCCCCCAGGACACGGTAAGTGCAAGTTGATTCAAGAAGTTCTGTGTAGGTCTTTGCAGTGGCCCCGTGCACAGTCTTTGTTCTGTTTGGGCTGGGAACCTTTTGCTGTTTCCAGGCTCTTCCCATGAGTCCCTTAGTACCACTACCACTTATAGCCTTTCTCCTTTTGGAAATGGCTGCCAGTGTGCTTTAGGTTCTGGAATGGGAACAAAATGCTGCGGGGACCAGGAACAAAACAGATTAGGTTTGAATCTGGTCACCCCCACTCACTGACTAATATTAAGTGAGTTACTTCTCTGGGCTTAGTGAACTCAATGGTAACTGGGGATGAATGACTTATTACCTCGTAGGGTGATTGTAACAAGTAATTGGGTGGCATTATTGCATAGTGGTTAAAGAATACTCACTGGGGTCATACTGCCCCATTCAAATCCTAGATCTCACTTCACGTGATACATCCTTGGATAAGCCACTTAACATTTTGAAGACCGTTGTCTTTTGTGAAATAAAGACAAAATAGTACCTATCTCATAGACATAGGCTTGTTAAGGGCGAGTTACTGAGACAGTGAAAAGTCTACTTGGATTAAAGCATAAGGTAGTGGAAGAGAAGTATTGAGAGGTAGATTGGTGTCATGTTCATAGGTTGTGAGATTTATATTCTTTGAGGTGGTTATGTTACCCTTAACAGAAACAAAGATGTTAAGGACCAGCTTTGTAAGAGAAAGTAAACTGAGTTTTGAGCTTGAGAAGACAGTAGCCCATTCACTGGAAATGTACTGAGCCATTAGAAATACGAGACCAATGCTTAGTTGAAATAGTGGACTGAGGGGCCGGCCCTGTGACTTAGCGGTTAAGTGCGCATGCTCCACTGCTGGCGGCCCGGGTTCGGATCCCGGGCGCACACCTACGCACCGCTTCTCCAGCCATGCTGAGGCCACGTCCCACATACAGCAACTAGAAGCATGTGCAACTATGACACACAACTATCTACTGGGGCTTTGGGGAAAAAAAGGAGGAGAGTTGGCAATAGATGTTAGCTCAGAGCCGGTCTTCCTCAGCAAAAAGAGGAGGATTAGCATGGATGTTAGCTCAGGGCTGATCTTCCTCACACACACACACAAAAAAATAGTGGACTGAAATGTAAAATTATTAGCATAAAAGTGATGGGTGAAAGAAAATAAATTTCCTTAGAAAGTGGGTGAGCGGAAGGTGGGAATTTGGACTTAATGAAGCTTCTAAGGGATAGGCATAAGTGGAGGAGCACTGATGAAAGGTTGAGAATAGTGCATGTGACCCTTTAAAAGTCAGAAAAAAGAGTTGAGAAATGAAGTGATCAGCAGTGTCATTATTTAAAGTAGGAGGGCCGGCCCTGTGGCTTGGTGGTTAAGTGCGCGCGCTGCGATGCTGGCGGCCCGGGTTCGGATCCCGGGTGCGCATCGAGGCACCACTTCTCCGTTCATCCTGAGGCCGAGTCCCACATACAGCAACTAGAAGGATGTGCAGCTACGACAAACAACTATCCACTGGAGCTTTGGGGGGGGGGAAATAAAATAAATAAAATCTTTAAAAAAAAAAAAAGTAGGAAAAACAAGGAGGGGGAAAATTGCAGATTTTTAAGGACACCTGTAGAAAAGAATTCTAGAATCCTGGAACTGAGATCTTGAGAGGTTTTTGTAAAAGTTCCATGTATTCTTTACTCCTCCTTCCCTCTACATCTGCTTACGGTTCTCTCGTTTCCATCTCAGAAATATTCCTCTTATTTGTCCCTTCCTCTTGGCTGGGCTAGGCCTGTTTCATTCTACGTGCAGTAAGAGCAGTGAGCTTCTCACCAGGTTTTCCCACCCGGAGGATCATGTTACACCTCTGCTTTTTGTTGAAGTATTTTTTAAAATTTTTGAATAGTAAATGTATTCACAATTCAAATTTCAAAAAGTATAACAAGTGAAATCTCTTTCCTAAATGTCTCATTGCCAACTAGTTCTCCTTCCCACAGGCAATCATTAACTTTTTTGTATATGCCCTTCCAGAGATATTTTATGTCTATATAAGCAAATATGAATATGAATATCCCTTTTTTTACACCAATAGTAGCTTTATACTCTTTTTCATCTTGCCCTATTTTTAAACTTATGAAGAATTTTGAATACCTACAAAAGTAAACTAGTATACAGTCACATGTCAGTTAACGACAGGGATACATTCTGAGAAATGCGTCATTAGGCAATTTCATCATTGTGTGAACATCATAGAGTGTAGTAACACAAACCTAGATGGTATAGCCTACTACACACCTAGGCTCTGTGGTACTAATCATATGGGGCCACCATTGTATGTGCGTTCCTTCGTTGACCAAAATGTCATGCCACACATGACTAACGAACCTCCATCTACTCATCTCCTGGCCCCAGACACCATCAATTCCTGGCTAAACGTTCACCATCCACACCAAATAAGGATCCAGATGCGGTCTGCACATTGCTATTGGTTGATGTGTCTTTTAAGTCTCTTTTTAATATGTAAGTTCCCCATCCATCTATGGTGGATTTTTTTCCCTTTATAATGTATCTTTTGAAGAAAATATATTGTTTGTCTTGTAGAATTACCCTACAGTCTGGATTTTGCTGATTGCATCCCTATTGCACCTTGCTTTTTATTGATTTTTAATAGACTTTATTTTTTAGAGCAGTTTTATGTTTACAGAAAAGTGAGCAGAAAGTATAGAGTTCCCATATACTCCCCCCCGTTTTCTCTATTATTAACATCTTGCATGAGCCAATATAGATGCATTATTAACAACTCAAGTCTGTAGTTTACGTTAAGATTCATTCTTTGTGTTGTACATTGTATGGGTTTTGACAAATGTGTAGTGACATGTGTCCACCATTATAGTATCATACAGACTAATAGTTTCACTGCCCTAAAAATCCCCTGTGCTGCACCTATTTATCTTTCCTTCCTTCCCCTTTCCCAACTCCTGGCAACTCCTGATCCTTTTACTATCTCTAGTTCTGCCTTTTCCAGAATGTTATATAGTTGGAATCATACTATTCAGCCTTTACAAATTGGCTTCTTTCCTTTAGCAGTATGTATTTAAGGTTCCTCCATGTCTTTTGGGGGCTTGATAGCTCATTTCTTTTTATTGCTGAGTAATATTCCATTGTATGGACATACCACAGTTTATCCATTCGCCTACGAAAGTACATCTTGGTTGCTTCCAAGTTCAGGCAATTAGCACCTTGCTTTTTAACGTCAAGTATCTTGCTCAACGTATCCTACAGCTGTAAGATAAAATTCAAACTCTCGGGGTTGCCAGAGTTGTTGCTTTCCCTTCACCACCACAAAATCAGTGTGTCCCATTCCAGTAGCTATAACTTGACCTTTTTTCTTTTTTTTTTTTTTTTCAATCATCTCCTGCTTGTACTCAGACCTTTCATGGGGGAGGAGAGGTCAGGTACAGGAGGGACAGGACATTTTTATAAAATTTGTCAAGACCCATTATATCTCCCACCTTGGCCTGTGTTGACCACTGCAGGAGGGGTTCACTGAGCAGTATATTCAACCAAGTGGTCGTTATCTTTATGGTCCAGGGAAGTTTGGTCATTGAATGCAGATGTCCTCAGAAAGGGATCTGTATACTTGTGTATAATATCTGCTTTTGATTTGTTTGTTTGTATTTTATGTCAGAAATATCCCAAAAAGAATTTCCAAGAAGGGTAGGGGAGTGATAGTATGTATATGTTTAATATGATTGGAGATTATAGATTTAATATGACCAAATTAGGTGAATTTTTAAATTTAAGTAATTTTTTAAAAAATGTTTTGTAAGCCTTAATTTAATTTAGTTTCTTTTCCTACTATTTTGCAGATAATTAATGTCTGTCTTTAAAACCATTAGGTAAAGGAGGTAAAAATAGGCGCAGAGGTAAGAACGAAAATGAATCTGAAAAAAGAGAGCTGGTGTTCAAAGAAGATGGACAAGGTAAGTGTTTTCATAAGTTAGGTTTCTTTGAGTAATAGTTTTCTTTCTTTCTTTCTTTCTTTTTTTTTTTTGTGAGGAAGATTAGCCCTGAGCCAACATCCGTTGCCAATCCTCCTCTTTTTGCTGAGGAATACTGGCCCTGGGCTAACATCCATGCCCATCTTCCTCTACTTGATATGGGACGCTGTCACAGCATGGCTTGAGAAGCGGTGCGTCGGTCGGTCTGCGCCCAGGATCCGAACCTGCGAACCCCAGGCCGCCAAAGTAGAGCGCGCAAACTTAACTGCTACACCACCTGGCCAGCCCCAATAGTTTTCTTTTTTTAATATAGAATTTCAATTTCTAAACATAAGAGATACTATTCATAATCCTGAGCAATAAATTGCATGTCACTTTTTGCTCTTCTCCATTGGTCATCCCCCGCACTTCTCCAGAGCCTTTCTTTTGGTAATCATTTCTTGGTATACTCAGGCTGCATTGAGGTTGGGTGGCATTTCTGTAAACATGTAGGTTTCATTGCTTTGCGTGAACACTCATGTTATAACTGAAAAGGAATTGTACAGTTCAGAGAGAATTAAGCCCCCAAAGCTATGGCTGACAATTCCATGATTTAATAGACCTTTTTTGATAGTAAATGGTGCTACATAGTATGTTCAGTAGACCAGGGATATTTGAGGGATGAATCCAAGGCGTTTCCCTCACTTCTCCAGTGCCATTAGCATATAATCTCATAAAATGTAATAAAATGAAACTACACAGTTGACTGACCTTTACAAACAAACCAGTTAAGATTTTGTAAGTGCCAGACCAAGATACATAGCACTAGTTTCCCATATTTTTATTTTGAGTAATTTGAAACCTTCAGAAAAGTGGCAGTATTAGTACAGTGAACTCCCTAAACCCTTCATCTGTGTGTGTTTTTTTCCTGAGCCATTTGAAAGTTAGTTGCAGACGTGATGCTTTTCCCTTACTACTTTATCATGTGTCCCCTAGGAATAAGGATATTCTCTTACATAACTGCAATAGAATTATCACACTCAGGTAATGTAACCTGAATATATTTTATATCTAGTAACTAGTCCATATTCAGATTTTTCCCGTTATCCCAATAATTTCCAGCACTTTTTAACTAAGAACTTTTTTTGATTGTCTTTTTATAGAACTTTGGTGGATTTGTTTCATGCTGTATGTGTAAACCACTAAAAATGAAACGTTTTTTCTGGCTAAAAGACCTTTTTGTTTCTTAGCCTCAGTCATTCTTGCCTCCCTTAGCAGGTGACTTTATTTTGACCACCACTATGTTTTCTTTTTCATATCTTTTTCCCACTTTGGAAGAGAGGCTGCCTTTGAATTGACCAACTGTGTTGAGGCACTAGGTTCACTGTAGTCTGAGTAACTCCCGCATGTCAGCCCCACAGTTGAGCCTTTCAAAGTTACATCTCAGTGTATTGACAAGTTAGTGGATATCCTCTTCAGGGGTCAGTCTTATGTACAACTTGAGTGAGCTAAAGGTGCTGAAGTGATGTGCCCCCCTTCCCCCATGTTTTCTGTTATTTGATGACAGAAGACAGGCCCATGTGCAGGGTCATGCTCATAATCTCCTCCTGCTTTTCAAGTGGCGGTGAAACCGGGTGGCTTCCTGGGTACCTTTTTGGAAAGATTTTGATTAAAAGTTTGGCATTTTGCCTGAGAACATCTTTCTGGCCTTACCAAAACTTTAAAATAATGACTAAGGGGCCGGCCCCGTGGCTTGGTGGTTGAGTGAGCGCGCTCCACTGCTGGCGACCCGGGTTCGGATCCCGGGCTCGCACCGACGCGCTGCTTCTCCGGCCATGCTGAGGCCGCGTCCCACATACAGCAACTAGAAGGATGTGCAGCTGTGACACACAGCTATCTACTGGGGCTTTGGGGGGAAAATAAATAAATAAAATCTTTAAAAAAAAAATAATAAAATAATGACTAAGATATTCTAATTTAACAAAGACGTTATTAACATTTAAGCTCCCTTTATTTGCCAAATGTACCAAGAATTCTGTTGAGATTAGCCTCTAAAGGTTGTGAGGGAAAAGAGATCCAAAACTGGGCGAAGATCCAAATGTGAGAGATTAATGAGATGTAGTGTGCGTTTTGGGACAAGCCACCTCGATCTCCAAAAGTAGAGCATACAGTTGTGAAGACAGTAGTCAGTCTACTTAGCAAAATGAGTAGGTCATTGAGACATTTCTGATAGTAGAGATAGCTTGTCGTAGAAATGGCATTGCAGAGTTTTGGTTCTGGCTCTGCTATTAACTACCTTGGTATTAATCACTCCCTTGTATGTATTTTACTGCACATATTTATTCCCAGCCAATACACCTATGTGTTCTAGTCAATTTAGGTGGACTTTTAAGTTGCTTTTATCAAAATTGAATAATATTCTATACTGTTTTCTTTTCCCTCACCCAGAGTATGCTCAGGTAATCAAAATGTTGGGAAACGGACGATTAGAAGCCATGTGTTTTGATGGTATGAAGAGGTTATGTCACATCAGAGGGAAATTGAGAAAAAAGGTAGGTATAGAGATTTGTTTGACTTTGATATAAAGTTGTGATTAAGGGGGAAAATGGCTCTACAGTTTTTATGGGCCGAGGACTGCATTTTGGAAGTTCCCAAAAGATTTCAGTAGAACAATGATTTACCTATAATAAATCAAAACAGCAAGATCCTTGATGGTAATTTTATACAAACTGTCTTTAAACTCACTGCATCACCTATGTTGTGTTCCTGCCAAAAACGTTTAACCAGAATCTAATCATGAGGAAACAATCGACAAATCCAAATTGAGGGACACTGCAAAACAAATGGCCTGGCTCTTAAATACAGTGTTAGTGTCATGAAAGGAATAAAGGCTTCCGGGGTGTGGGGGAGGTGGGGCGGCACTATTCCAGTTTAAAGGAGATGAAAGGGACCTAATGGTTAAAAGCAGTAGGTGGCCCTTGTTTGGATTCTGGTTTGAGAAATAGCTGTAAAGGGTGTTAAGAAAATTTGAGTATTAATTATGTTAAATAAGTGTTGCATTGTTAAAATCCCTGAATTGTGATCATGAATGGGCTGCTTTGGGGAAAGTAATGATTAATTTCTCATCACAGTAGGTATTCAGGCAGATTTATTAATCAAGTTGGTTAAAAGTCCCTCCAACTCTGATTTTATGACTTGTTTTCCTTTGGTTTGTTAATCTTCTGTTACCAAACTAAAGCGGTTTTGCCAGCTGCCTGTATATGGGTGAGTGGGTGGGCAGAAGAAAGGAGGAGAGGGAGGGCAATAAAACCACATTTCTCATTTTCTATTCTCTTATATAATGGATGCATAACTAACCACTTGAAGTGGTTCACTTATTAAAAATCCCTTAATTTCTAAACTAATCGTTCCTCTGGACTTATTAAACTGTCAAGTAGTTAAATAAGATTGTTATTTTTTTAACATCCCAAATTACAGAAAATCTGAAACAGGCTCAGCTGCTTCCTGTAGTTTTTTTTCCTAATTCTGAATATAGGTACGTCTTGGGTGAATAGTATGTATAGTTTATGGGAAGACTGACTCAATGTTCTTCCTCATTCTTTATTTTTATTTTAAATATAACTTGCAATAACTTCTTTTATAGGTTTGGATAAATACCTCGGACATCATATTGGTCGGTCTACGAGACTACCAGGTAAAAAACAAAATTAAAATTTTCATTGTTCACTTGCTTGAATTTGATGAGCCATTAATGTTTAGAACATAAATCATAACCATATTTGACCAGTTCTGGCCCAGTATGCTGCTTACCATTGCGTCAACAAACATTTCTTAAGAGCCGGTTATGTCTTCGGCATTGTGCTGGGAGGTACCCCAGGGATTGTGGTTCCCAAATGCCAGTCTGTGGAGTCCACATTTTCACTATAGAAGAAATACAGGCAATGTGATTTGGTGGGGGGGGGGGGGGGG